CGGGATTCAGTCCGTTTGTATGTCCCGTTTTACCATCAGTATCGATCCGTGAAAAGTGTCACGAAACGAAAATGTAGTTTACGAATGGTGAAAAAGGTTGTCGATCCGTATGCATGCGACAGTATTGGACATGTATGGTGAACACGAGTCCAAAAATCATGAACACGAGCGAACACGAGTCCAAAAGTCCAAAAATTATGAAAACGAGTAAAAAAAACACAAACACGAGTAAATTTTGTAAATATTTGAACTCATTTAAACAAACTGAACACAACAAGATCCTACAGAGGCATCTTTTAATTACACTCTTTATCATAGTAAAGTATTAACCCGGATTTATTTAAGATTGAGGCTGGTTAGTGGTTACTACAACCTCGGACAAAATAGTTTAGTAACGTGAAGTTATGTTATGCGGAAAATTTATCATGACTTAAACTCAACTTCGCAGCTAGAGGGAACAAGGATTAGGTACATATAATAAGAAAAGAATGCGCATACGACTTTGTCGAAGATTGTAGTATAATCATTATCAGTGACCGGTTCTTAGTGTTCAAAGCAGGTTAGCCTAGCGCAGGGCAATTTTCATCGCAGTGCTTTCCCCCCACTGTGCCCCCAGGAAAGCCTACGAAAGACCCTGGGTACGAGGTTGGCCTTAGGTAACAAAATTGTTCAAATGAAAGTTTCCAAGATTGGTGATGCTAAACGAGTAAATTTATAACTATAACAATGATTGACATCGTATAATTCCCAATCGAGCCGAGTACTGGGTCGAGTCGCGAACCGAAAAGTATCTATGGACTGTTTGGAGGGACAGGAAATATAAGTCTGAAATCATTTGTCCCTCCAAACAGTCCATAGATACTTTGCGGTTCGCGACTCGACCCAGTACTCTGCTCGATTGGGAATTATACGATGTCAATCATTGTTGTAGTTATAAATTTACTCGTTTAGCATCACCAATCTTGGAAACTTTCATTTGAACAATTTTGTTACCTAAGGCCAACCTCGTACCCAGGGTCTTTCGTAGGCTTTCCTGGGGGCACAGTGGGGGGAAAGCACTGCGATGAAAAGTGCCCTGCGGCGAAGGTTGACCTAAGGCTAGGCTAACCTGCTTTGAACACTAAGAACCGGTCACTGATAATGATTATACTACAATCTTCGACAAAGTCGTATGCGCATTCTTTTCTTATTATATGTACCTAATCCTTGTTCCCTCTAGCTGCGAAGTTGAGTTTAAGTCATAATAAATTTCCCGCATAACATAACTTCACGTTACTAAACTATTTTGTCCGAGGTTGTAGTAACCACTAACCAGCCTCAATCTTAAATAAATCCGGGTTAATACTTTACTATGATAAAGAGTGTAATTAAAAGATGCCTCTGTAGGATCTTGTTGTGTTCAGTTTGTTTAAATGAGTTGAAATATTTACAAAATTTACTCGTGTTTGTGTTTTTTTTACTCGTTTTCATAATTTTTGGACTTTTGGACTCGTGTTCGCTCGTGTTCATGATTTTTTGACTCGTGTTCACTCGTGTTCATGATTTTTTGACTCGTGTTCACTCGTGTTCATGATTTTTTGACTCGTGTTCGCTCGTGTTCATGTTTTTTGACTCGTGTTCACTCGTGTTCATGATTTTTGACTCGTGTTCGCTCGTGTTCATGATTTTTTGACTCGTGTTCGCTCGTGTTCATGATTTTTTGACTCGTGTTCACTCGTGTTCATGATTTTTTGACTCGTGTTCGCTCGTGTTCATGATTTTTTGACTCGTGTTCGCTCGTGTTCATGATTTTTTGACTCGTGTTCACTCGTGTTCATGATTTTTTGACTCGTGTTCGCTCGTGTTCATGATTTTTTGACTCGTGTTCGTATTTTTAGAGTCGTGTTCTGACTCGTGTTCATTTGTGTTCATTCGTGTTCACTCGTGTTCTGACTCGTGTGGTGCTTTAGAACAGATCCTTCTTATAGAGCCTTTTTACAACATTTGTTTATCTTACTTACTTCGCAAGAAATTGGCGATCAAAAACATCGACTATATCGAGATATATCCGCCATCTTGTTTTATATTGAGATCTAATTACGTCACGTAAAAGCAGGGTTGACGCTCAAAAAATAACAATTATTACGCTTTAGTTTAGAACTCGTTATGATTTGAGTACGTGCGATTCTAATACCATGGAACTATCACTTTCCTGGATCGTTAATTTGAAGTTACAAAACGAATTCTCACCCAGCTTATGACCTTACGCATATATCAGAGCAAGAATATTCATATCCAAAATGACGGATGTAAGATAATTTCATTCGAAAATATCTTGAGAAGTAATAAAGTTAACAAAAATCCGTAAACGAATTTTTGTAAATAATCATGACGTTGTTTTAAACTAGACAAAGATAATTTTTATTGCTGTATCCCTTCACTACGGCTTCCCCCATGCATGGTTATACGAGTTTGCCATATTAATTTAAAATCGTGATATTCTATTCGGACGCTCGTAACCGTCGCTCCCCTGACTACGGCATTTTGAGAAACTTTCGAAGTCCTCATACGTGATTAGAAATAACTATGAGATCACATTTTCTCCTTTTCCTGGAAAAAAAATTTAGAGAACTATTTTCATGACTGTGACTTTAATTATATGTGTATTTTTCGAAATGGTACGCGTAAGCTATCTTCTAAATACTGGATAGTATTATAGTACGCTAATATTAAATAAATCGGCAGGCACCGAGCTTTATCAGGCTGACACAAAGTGGCGTATGCATACAACGTGACATCTAAAGCTTTTGCTTCCACTACTTTCTGCCGATCTGTCTGGTTGCTGATGATTTTTTAACCAGATTGACATATCGCATTTAAAATGGTTCGCATTATTAAACTATCAAATCACCGTTGAGAAAAGAAAACTACGTTTTGGAACGGTGCCCAAAACATTGTGCAAAATATTTGTTTACGTTTCTAAAACATGTATTTTATATATTTTGTTTTCAAAATATCACCTTTGTATAAACGCCGTGACCATCACTGAATAAAAACATTCTTTTGTTAATAATTGCGCTGATTTTGCATAGATCAACAAGACACAACAGATCGTAGATCAGGTGGTCAGGGATGGGGTTTACTGGATTATTATAAGTCTCTATAATAAATCTACGTTGCTTGTTTAGGTTTTTTAAAAGAAATCTTCTTCGAATGGTAACCAAAGCCCGGAACATGAAAGGTATATTTTTCCTGCAAGAAAACCAAGTAATTGACATCAGATTTTATAAGCCAAAAAAGGATATAGGCAATCCCGTTGTCTCGCGACGAATCTCTCTCTTCGAGGGCACGTCGTGATGAAGGAAACAAGTAACATATTGATTTAGTCTCAGTCGCTTTTTGTTCCATGCTTTGTTTACCCAAAGTAGAATGCCGTAAATGTGTATAAATTATCGTGTGCGGCTATCTTCACTACTGGAAAGGGGACTGGGAAGACTCGAAACGTCCTAAACGAGGCACAATAATACAAAGCCGCCAGACACCTCTTGTAATCATTGTGTTTAGATTCTAACCACCCTCGCGGTTATAGATGATCAAACATGCAATTAATAATTTCATTCGCTTTTGTTTGATTTTTCTTTGAAAAATTTCATTTTTCTTTGCAAATTGATAAAAAATGCCCCTACATGTAACACTCTGCAATTTAAGAAACCTCAGGTTACGGCTCTACTTAATCACTGTCTTTCTTGTCAGTAAGAAAGCAAAGATTACTTAGAATTATCATCTCATCTATTTTTTATTGCCTTTTAACCCAAACTAAATGCGGCATCTAAATTATGCCTAAATTGCGTATTATCTTTGTTTTGTTTTCTCATAGCCAAGAAAGAAGATTAGATATTCATTGACTGATCAATCAAATTTTTCTGTAATCATGTGACTTCTCAAGATGAGTTACGAATCCGTAGGCGTAGAGTTGCGTTTTTGAATGCTCAGTAACTGATGAATAGAATTAAACTATATATTTATTAGTCTTTTCCTTATTGCAATGCAGTGACGGGTGTACAATAGCAAGATTTAGCGCTATTCCTTGAATAGTGATTTTTTTCAATAAAATTGTCCGTTCTTTTGTACATTTGTGATTAAACTTTAGTATTCTTAAACTGGGGGCTTTTTTTAGTAATTGGTATAGCTCCAAAACTGTAGTTTTTCTGCTTTAAGTATTTTTACAACGGTTGTAAAAATTACAATCGAGCGCTTTGCAGTCTTTGTACAACCGGCCCCAGGGACCTCGTGTATCGTGGTAGATTAAATTAAGCTAGTTGCTATTTTAAGACCGTTTCGCCTACACCCACCAATTGGGGGTCACCGAGATGTAGAGACTCTCACTAAAAATATATAGGGCATAAAACATTGACAGCACATCACAAGAAATAGAAGCATATGGTGAAATTTGTAATAAAAGGTTTCACGGTTCAAAGTCCGAACTTCGTGCATTAGTATGCTAGATGCCAATAAATACATGGCCTCCTCCGCAGGCATCTCTCTTATGTATTTATATTAGGCATTTATATTTGGCTTGGGTTAACTGTGTCGGGGAAGGCGAGGAAAAAAGTGGGACAATTTTTTTTCACTCCCCGACACAGCTAACCCAAGCCAAATATAAATGCCTAATATAAATACATAAAAGATGCCTGCGGAGGAGGCTAATAAATACAAACAATATGTTAATTTTGTTTCAAAGATTCTCTGGAGGTATAATCTTAAAGTGAGATATAATGTTATTATGTAGCATGTGCAGTATAATATTATGTACAGTATAATATTATAGCCCATCCCTAACCCCTCCCTAAGTGGCAAATATGCATATTTTTAATACATAAGAGTCATAAGTGTGCCTGCGGAGGAGGCTAACTGAGGCTTGACCAGTGGGCTTGACTCCCTCTCTAAGTACTAGCACACTGACTGATCTGTATAGGAATCTTTTCACTGTATTGTGTGCCCACCGAAAGATTTGTGCACATTCGAAATTCCAGACATCGGTCACAAGTCACAACACTCTTCCCTATATATTTATTGCAATATCGTCTTGTATCTGCTATGTTCTTTTTACTGGTTGCTGCAATACTTACTGTATTCCTCGTGTTTCTTTACAAGAACGTTAAAGTAGATTTCACATTAAAATATTATGAATTATTCGGCAAAAAGGTTGATGAATTGCGGGGTCAGGTTGTGTGGATCACAGGGGCATCCAGCGGTTTGGGAGAATACTTGGCTTATAGGCTAGCAAGTGCTGGCTGCAAGTTGGTTCTTTCGGCGAGAACAGAACACAAATTGGAACAAGTCAAAGCAAAATGCATTGGTGAGTTACAGTAGTCCTTGTTTGATATATGACTCTTCACAGATCATTTTCAGGAGCCCCCTATAAATGCTGGCCCTTAGCTACCTTTACAAACTACAAAGCCTAATGAAAATTTTGTATTTTTAATTATTATAGTATAGAAATGCGAGGTAGACCAGGAGGTAGATATTTTGCATGATTTTATTAGTGGGGGGTTTCTTGTGATATTGTAGTCTCAGCTGTCTCTGTCCTGAGAATGCATGATCAAGTTGTTTTAAAATTTGGCTGAAATGGACCTCATTTTTTATTAATTAAACAGCTGTATTGCTTGTATGAGCAACTACAATTACCGTAAACATGTTGTCATTAACCAAAAAGCCTAGGATGAAATTGACAGATTTTGCCATTTGTTTACTTGGCATTATACTAAAATCATGTTGCCCTACAAACAAGCGGCATGCAAGCAATGTAGTATACTATGTTATAACTACATTGCTCGCACATCGCTCATTGTAGGCTACATGCAAGATTCTAGTATTTTGCCAAGTAAATATAATTAACATTCCAATTAACAAAAGAATGATCGCTTTCTTCAAATTTTCAATATTTTAATTTATAGTATTTTTAATTCAAATATATAAAACATTTGCCATTGGCCTTCCTGTCCAATAGCAAATGGTTTATATATTTGATTAAGGTCTGACAATGCAAATTTTTACTTTGGGATGACACTAGCTATGTTGTATTAGGCATTCATATAATTAGGCGTGTGAAAATAGCTATACCCTTTTAAAGAATTTTCCATCAGGGCCTGGGGAGGGCAAATTGGGACCTAATGTTTACAAAGTAGTAGAAATTAATTTATTTAATTAGTACAGTAACAAAAATATGAAAACAATTTGTTGCCTTGATAACATTCATTATCATCTTTAATTTCTATCAGAATTCTTCATTCATTTAAATTGCCTCACCAAATTTCATTACCCTCGAAAGATTTATATCAAATTTTGAGATCAGAAGATTATCTAAAACATATTATGACTTCCATTCTGATGAATATTTTTTATATTCATGCACTTGATCATTATATACTAGGAGGATAAAGGAACTGGCTAGGAAGTAGGAACTAGGAGGGGTAATTTGCTTGACCTAAGTTATACAGATCAAACAGATATATAAAGGGCTGCATGACAACCAGCTGATCTGGGTATAAAAATCAACCAATCAGAAGCCAGATCTTCGACAAAACTGAATTATCATTTCCTTCATTGCATATGACTTCGACACTCGAAAATATCAAGTAATTTTATTATATTTATGTGAAAACACGTTTATTTTTTCCCAACTGCAAATTAGAATTTAAATTTTTCACCCTTTATACTATTAGTTGGAAGAATAAGGACAAATAACACCAGGCACATGATAACTCAGTTTTGTCGAGACGCTTTATGACGTCATGATCTCAGATCAGCTGGAAGTGGGGAAAACCCAGACTTCCATGCATTTCTACATAGTGAAACATTTTTGCACCATTCCCTCCCCGGTTGTGATCTACTGCAAAGATTAAATTAGGTAGAATGCAAATATATTCGTCAAATAATAATAAAAGTTTACAATGAGTTTGCATGGAACATTCAAACAAAAAACTAAATGACACCACTGATCTAAAAATTCAGATTAGTGAATGACTCCTATTCTACATTTCTCTTACGACTTCTACATACAGTGACCTTGAGAATTAGTCACAGCTAGATAATTAATATCAGTGTAATTACTAACCTTTTTTAAACCTGTGTGTTCTAATAAAGGGACCCTCATAAATGCAGTATATTTGCTTCTTTTTATTTATATATTATATTCAGGTGACTTGAATTAGCAGGAAAGTCCAGGAAATGAAAATCCATTTAATGATCAGTTGAAATAACTTGATATCTCTTGAAAAAAGCCATTTAGTTCCAGTTTCAAATTTATGCCAGAGCTACCGTATAGTTTTTTAATTAAACTAAACATACAGTACTAATCACAAAAGTTCAACTGGTTCCATAAAGAATAACAAAAGGTATAATTGATTAAGTAGCGCAAAAATTATTTCTATTTCGATTAGCTAAAGTATGAGCACAATATTACCCCTGATACCAAAAATTTGTTTATAAATTCATTATCATGTTGTGGTAGAAAAAAAATATATTAAAATAACTTAATTAATTTCAGAAATATCTGGTAAAAAAGAAGAAGATGTTGAGAAAGATTTTCTTGTTTTACCTTTGGATGTTACAAAATATGACACCATGCAAGAGGCAGTTAAAACAGTCTTGGACCATTTCTGCGAGGTATTAATTTATGTACATACTATTGTATGTTTTATATTCTAATGTAAAGAGCATGAAGTAGATTTATAATATGTGTATAAATATAGCAATTTAATTTAAGGTTTAGATTTGCATGCATATAACTAAAAAAATTATCATAAAAAGAAAGATTTGCTCTTTTCAACAACAGACTTGTGTTGGTCTGCGTTTTGCACATTCAACAGGTTGCGCATGGAATTGGTGTGTAGGCAGAAAAAGTTGTCACCTTAAATATTAGTGACTGTCTCTAGCTATTATCTTGATCTCTTTTCTCCAAAAGAGGCAGCACTCGCGATCACTGTTTCAAAGCTAGTATTTTTCAAATATGGTGGGCAAACCCCACCCCACCCCACCCTGATTTGTGGTGCTATTACAAGTCTTCCAAAAGCTATCCTGAATCGGGTAAACAGAGTTTTGGTAACAGAAATGACAGGCGTCGTTGTAGCCGCGCCGTGGATCTAAACCTTTATCATCAATGTACAAATTATACAATAGATCCTTTGCACATAACGTCACATTAGGCATCTCGAGGACAAATTCAAAATCGTAAATTTTAGCCAAAATACAGAAATATTCACTAGTGTACTAGTGTGAGAAAGCCTGCTTCGTTAAATGCTTTTGACCGTTGTATAAACCTTCACCGCTCGCATAACGATTATTTTTAGTGAAGCAGGGAAACATCTGGAGGACAACTTTTAATGATTATTACGTCAGTGCAATGGACCCTAATAACGCCCCCAATGTTACTAACATTTTGTCCCTAAAATTCCAATATAACGTATTGCCAGATTTTATGTCCCAAAATATTGTATATCCAAGTACTTTGTATCAAATATGGTATAACTACTGCCTCTAATAGGTAAAAACACTTCTCGACATTTCGAACTGAGGGCCTTCGTCAGGAGAGTTAGTATGAAAATAAGTATGAGGATACTAACTCTCTTGACAAAGACCCTCAGGTCGAAACGTCGAGAATTGTTTTTGTCTATTTTAGGCAGTTGTTATACCACGTTTGATGCTAAGTTATTTGAAGATGCTGCCACTCTGCTCCCTGGTTATATTGGAACGTATCTACATCCAAGTACTGTGGTAGATTTCCAATCGAATTCTTGAGCAGTGGCTCTTTTCATATCCTTCAGATTTTAGAGAATCGTTTGCAGAAATTGATCACGAAGCGAAAAGCGATTATATTAATTACGCCCTGACTGAAGATAGATTGATTGATTAATTGATTGATTGATTGGTTGATTGATTGATTGGATGATTGGATGATTGATTGATTGATTGATTGATTGATTGATTGATTGATTGAGATTTGATTGATTGATTTAGCTATTTATTGACAGATTGATATTCTAGTGAACAACTGTGGCAGGAGTCAGCGAGGAATGGTTGAAAACACGGAGAGGAAAGTTGATCGAGAGTTGTTCGAGATAAACGTGTTGGGTACAATTTCGCTGACTAAAGCTGTTCTTCCGCACATGATTGGGAGAAAGACTGGTCGTATTGTTGTTGTCTCCAGCATTTCTGGGAAAGTCGGTGGGTCCTCCAGCATGCTTTATCAACTATTGCAAATTCGGCTTTTGAAATGAGAATTCTAGCACCGACGGGTTGAGCAAGACTCGCATGCAATTTCAAATCTGCATCCCACGATATACATTTTATCCGCGATTAAAATCTCAAACTGCTAATAATAATGGTATCCACTCAGGGAGAAATACATGGGATAGGTTGACTGCTCTAGTAGACCCTTTACACATGACGTCACATTACGCATCTGTTAACGTAGCATAATTTTTTCAAAAACCTAAATTTTAGATAAAATACAGAAATATTTACTCGTGTGAGAAACTTTGTTTCGTTAACTGCTTTCGACCGCTTTATAAACCTGCACTGATGGCATGACGATTATTTTTAGTGAGCAAGGAAACATCTGCAGAACAACTTTTAATGATTATGACGTCGTTGCAATGGTTCTATACATATTGTGAATGTAGTTATCAGCACGTGAATAGGTCTTTGGTGCACAGGTCGGTAGTAAAAAATATGCAAACGTTAAGCAATGTTGAAATTTTTGCAATGAATGTCGCCGGTTTACCTGTTCTGCAGAAGTTTTTGTCTGAACAATTACTTCGAGCACAACATGTGCACGTTTGTTTCATCAATGCGTGCTGTTATGAATCCGCATGCAAATTCCCTATATACTATGCCCATGCTTGTCCAGACAGAAGAAAGATTACCATAAGTTGATGCTCTACAGTTTATTTTTAACGGCAATTTGATTGCTTAAAGACATGTTACAGCGGCTTCTGCGCAGCAGAACGCTCATAACTTTGGAACATTAATGATTTAGAAACTGTCTAAATTTCGCATATTTTGAGTTTCTTTGAACATAAATTCTATCTTCTTCATTTAGTAATATAGTGAAGTGAAATAGTGATAAATATTCCGACAGTACAGGATTTTTTAAATGATTAAAGACTGATTCAATACGTAAAAAAAGCCTCTGTTTACATTACCGACTGCATGTAACCCAAGGGTCATAGCCTATAATTAGATACATCCCTCCAAAAAAGTAGTTCTGAGGTCACATATAAAAGTGTTTTGCAGCAAATTTTGACCTCTTTATATTTATACACTGTTAATTTAATAGGTACTCCAACAGCTGCTACCTACTCTGCAACAAAGTTTGCACTGCAGGTAAACATGTATAGATATTTATTAGATATTTTATATTTTCTCAACTCTGGAGTTCCACTACACCTGCATGGCCTTGTTCATTTAGGCCACATGAGTGTCCTGCATACAGTGTGTGCCAAAAAAATTACCCTTTAAATTTTTAACTAAATTAGAATTACCCACAACAAAAGAGTTATTTCGAATTTGTGATTTTCTTATTTTTTTGTGATACTACTTATATTTTTTTGCGGTATTCAGAAGTGTCAGATAACCCAACAAACTCCATGATAGCCGACACCGCGGAAATTGGTATAGGCTTAGCCGCAATTCTCGATACTTAGACTTCAAACTTGGCGAGGAAAAAGATTTATAAATATTCAAGAAAATATGTCTTGCACAAAAGATTTGAAGCTTGCTCACGGTAAAAACGAATCGTCTGAATTAATAACCTTGTGTATACTTTAAGCCTCAAAATGGCCATTTCACAGCGGTCAGATGTGTATGATGAGCTGTAAAAAGATTGCAGAATGCGTATTCAGAAGAAAAATTGAACTTTTTTAAGATATTCAAAAGGTTTCTCTTTGATAGGGCGATACAGAAATGCACAATTATGAACCAGCGATTAGATTTTCGGGTTGAAACGTCTTAAACACCAATTTCTGCGGTGTCATGATAGCCAGTCAATTAACGATCTTTGGTTTAACGCTATTTCAGGGGTATTTCTCTGCTTTGCGCTATGAACTTCATGGAAAATGTATCAAAGCTTTATTAGTCTGCCCAGGACCAGTAAAGTCGGCTGTTGTTGAGAATGCCGCAACAGAGACATGGGGCAAGGTATGTACGTAAAAGTCATTCTTTGGTGCTGTGGTTAATGTAGAGATAATAGATACAGGAGTATTTGATTTAGGACTTTGCAAAAGATTTAGGTCACCTATTAAATGATAATTTAGTGGAAATGCTGTATTTTGAAAACCTAGAGTTTTCACATATATGGAAAGTATTATATATTGAAGCTGTCTTGCATGTACGCGTTGTGTATTAAAATAGATTTTGCACACAACTTAACAAGGTCAAGCCAATTATAGAGAACACTGAAAGTTTTAGAAGAAATGTTTTGGCAGAAATTATGTAAATATTGAAGGCCTAGAGGCATGCAAGCTGTGTCTGATCTGACGCCACTGACATGCATGCAGGCGAAATAGATGCGCAAGTGATTCTCAGCCAACGGCAACGTTAAATAACGAGTTAAATGGAACAAGGCGCGAAGTAGGCGTTAACTCGGGCTACGTGGACGGGGTACTGGGCGAATTATACGCTGCACTGAGCTGTATTAAAATAAGCCCCAGTCCGTGCGGAAGACTAAGCCTGCGAAACAAAGAAATAAAAAAATAATAATCGCAAGACCTATAGACTAGCCCGAATAAATATTTATAGTCGACTTCAGCATTACGAAAACCTTCAAAGAGTACGTGAAAATATCAATAATATCAAGTTAAATTGATATGCCATTGGCGACAGTGACTATGTAATGCTGCTATTTTAAACACATCGTTTAAAAACATACTTTTAGGCCAGAATAAAAAAACTCGCGTGATCGGCTTTTGACGTGACATGCTTAATTTCCAGGAATCCAAGATGGCGGCAGCTTGATAATTTAGGCTTAAATGCCCTCGTCAATGAACTTAGCAAGCGAAACACTAATCAAAATACTCAAGAATTGAGATAAATAATTTTAGGTGTTCTTTCAAATGAGAGAAAGAAACCTTGTATATGTCCATTATATATTTTCGTGGCCTTTCTGGCCGTTCTTATAATTGCACTCCAGTACAAAAATAGAATATTTCCGTTCGTTTTTTTATCCTCGATTTCTCCTCCTTTTATTTTCTTCGCCTGACTTTCATCGAAATTTTCACAAACTAGTTAACTTTCCTAACCTCGCCGAAATTATATATATAGCTACTCGGCTATTTATTCCCAACTTTCCTTAGCAACATTTACTGGGATGATACTGCATGTTAAACCGAGCCAACTTTTCTTCAACCGACCCAACTTTTTTATGTGTATTAGAGTGTAAAAGATACGCCATATGAATATGATACGACGCATCGCATGGAAACAGATGAATTTGCGAACTATATGGCAATTGCGATGGTGAATGAACTGGATGAAAGTTGGATCTCTCCCCAACCTGAATTGTTAGCGGCATATGTCTCTCAGTACATGCCTTCCATCGCGAATTGGTAAGGGTTAGGGCTCAGAATATAGAGACCTTTCTACGGCTTCCGCTACGGTTACGAGTTTGCCTATTAACCGTCGCTCCCCTGACTACGCGGGCATTTTGAGAAAACTTCGAAGTCCTCATACGTGATAAAAAAACATTTTAGAGAACTATTTCCATGACTGTTACTTTAATTATGTGTATTTTTCGAAATGGTACGCGTAAGCTATCTTCTAAATACTTGATAGTATTATAGTATCTAAAGCTTGCATCTAAAAATTTTGCTTCCACTACTTTCTCCCGATCTGTTTTGCTTGCTGATGATTATTTAATCAGATTGTTTAATCATATCGCATTTAAATTAGTTCACATTATTAAAGTATCAAATTACTTTTGAGCAAAAAAACTACGTTTTGGAACGGTGCCCAAATTTTTCTCGCGTAAAACATTGCTTTATTTTGAAAATCGTCGTAAAATTGTCAAGATATTTGCTTACGTTTTTAAAACATGTATTTTACACATTTTGTTTTCAAAATATCACCTTTGTAATTACACTGAAACCTCAGACGCCGTGACTGAATAAAATCACTGAATGCCATCACCGAATAAAACATTCTTTTGTTAATAATTGTGCTGATTTTAGATCAACAAGACACAACAGATCGTAGATCGGGTGGTCGGGGATGGGGTTTACTGCATGGATTACTATAGTCTCTGATGCTTTGGATATTTGAGAAATTTAACGTGACGAAAAACAGAAAAGACCCAAGTTTCTCTATGTAGCTTTATAACATTGTCAAATTAATTGATTTACGTTGCTTGTTTAGGTTTTTTAAAAGATATGTTCTTCGACTGGTAATCAGAAACCGGAACACTAAAGGTATATTTTTCCCGCAAGTAAAACCAAGTAATTGAGATCAGATTTTACAAGCCAAATAAGGATATACGCAACCCCATTGTCTCCCGGCGAATCTCTCTTCGAGGGCACGTCGTGATGAAGGAAACAAGTGACATATTGATTTAGTCTCAGTCGCTTTTTGTTCCATGCTTTATTTACCCAAAGTAGAATGCCGTAAATGTGTGTAAATTATCGTGTGTGGCTATCTTCGCTACTGGAAAGGGGACTGGGAGGGGTCGCGAAACGTCCTAACCGAGGCACAATAATACAAAGCTGCCAGACACCTCTGGTAATCATTGTGTAATTTGTGTTTAGGTTCTAACTACCCTCGCGGTTACAGATCATCCAACGTGCAAATAATTACCTTCGCTTTTGTTCAGTCATTAATAACAAATTGACTTTTGTAATGCGCAAATTGATAAAATGCCCCTGTAACACTCTGCAATTTCAGAAACCTCAGGTTACGGCTCTATTTGATCACTGTCTTTCTTGTCAGTAAGAAAGCAAAGATTATTTAAAATTATCTCATCTATTTTTATTGCCTTTTAACCCACACTAACTGCGGCATCTAAATTATGCTTAAATTGCATAATTATTATTTTTGTGTTTTCTTTTCTCTCAGCCAAGAAAGAAGATTAGATATTCATTGACTGATCAATCAATTTTTTCGTAATCATGTGACTCCTCAAGATGGGTTACGAATCCGTAGGCGTAGAGTTGCGTTTTTGAATTCTCAAAATCAGACTGTAATTGCATAATGAATAGAATGAATAGACTAGATTAGTAGATATTTCTTAGCCTTTTTCTTATTGTAATGCAGGGACGGTTGTACAATAGCAAGATATAGCGCTATTTCTTAAATAGTGATTTTTCAATCACTCTAAAATTGTCCGTTCTTTGGTACATTTTTGATTAAACTTTGGTATTCTAAAACTGGGGACTTTTCTTTAATAATTGGTATATGTAGCTCCAAAACTGTAGGAACGGTGTAGTTAGGAACTGTTTACAACGGTGGTAAAAATTACAATCGGGCGATTAGGCGCTTTCCAGCCTTCGTACAACCGGCACCAGGACCTCGTATATGGTGGTATATATTAAGCTAGTTGCTTTATATTTTAAGACCGTTTCGACTATACACCCAATTTATTGGCACAGTTACATTTACTACGCAACATCACGCTTCCTTTCGTATGAAGATATGGAAGCTGCATGTCACACTGCAAAAAAACTTGTCGTAACTGGGGGGTGTCAAAGGGCCAATTGGGGTTCAACGAGATGTAGAGGAATCTCACAAAAAATACAGGGCATAAAACATTGACAGCACATCACAGGAAATAGAAGTATGTGGTGGAATTTGCATGTAATACAAGGTTTCACGGTTCAAAGTCCGAACTTCGTGTATTAGTATGGTAGATGGCAATAAATACAAACAATATGTTAATTTTGTTTCAAAGATTCTCTTGATTTCAAAGATTGCGCGCGAAAATGTGAAGCTGAAATTGAGATGTTATTTAACTGTCTAAAAGTAGGGAAGGTTTATCAATAACTTTCAAAGTTTCAGGAAAACGTACTAGGAGCAACGCGAGACCCCTAAAGCTGACGAATATTTCATTGCGCCCAGTGGATTAAGGGGGTCTACCTGAAATTGGAGATTTCGAGTTTTTCCGGTTGGCAAGCTTATTGCTCACCATCTATTACTGCTAACTGCATAAAACTACATATATATCACCAGAAAGCTTATTAAACAAGGATTTCAAATAATAATTTTATTCCCATAGCTTAATTATTTACATCCATAATATACTTTCAAAGATAATCAAGATAATCTTCTCGAAAATAAGCTTATGCTTGAGAAAAGATAGCTCTTCATGGATGCAACTGAATTTTACTCCAATGAGCTTTTTGTGGATCACAATGCAAGTAGATTGAAATGAGAGATAGATTTTTGGATATTGCAAGCAGTGGCGTAGCCAGCCTGACGATTTTGTCCCGCTATGTAAATTTCGTGTTATTATATAATTATTCATTTCTTTAGAAATTAAACACCAAAATATTAGCAAAGCGGGACAAATCGTCAGGCTTGCATGCCAATGATTGCAAAACGTTTTTATACAACATAGTTCCAAAGTATTCGCAAAATAAAATATCGAAATTTTAAACGTTTTTCGTCTCTCAAATGGTGGGAATACACCCTATACCAAATCCTATCGCTCATTTCACTTATCAACTTGTGCTCTACCATCACTGATCATGAAAATTTCAGCCAAAATTTCAGGGTCTTCTCACTTTTCCCTCGGCGCGCAACGAAGAAAGCCCCTTGAGTTTTTCGCGGCCGCATCAATACAGGCGTAAAAGACCATTAAATTTGAAATGAATTCATTCATTTATGAAGAAAAAATTAACTGACGTAGTTTCCTTTTATTGCTGTATAAGTATGCTGTAATATTTTAATAATTATATAAGTATACTGTCATTTACTGTACAAGTTAAGCATTACGCTGTGAATGAATTTTCTCTGTGTTATTTTCATTAATATTAATTAATTAACAATTAATTAACGTTAATATGAATTAATTATTTAATTTTCTAATTAATTAATTAAATAATTAGAAAATTAATTAACCGACGGATTTCCTTTGCTTTAATTTTAAGTATAAACTGTGAATCATTTTACGTGTCATTTTCATCTCCATTAGCTTTGTCTTTTCTACATACTTGTGGAATATTTATCTCAATATCACTCATTGCTGATGTTCAATATCACGAGGGAAGTTCTTGTATTCAATGCTTAACCACAGCATTGAAAATAACCAGCAAACTGTAAGACCAAAGCCAGTGTACATCATTGGCAATTTGGCAAATGTTGCTCCTGCTATTAGACGACCGACCAGAATACCAAAATGCAAAACAGCAAAATTTATACCTTGATAAAACGAGGCGCTACTCACTGGAGTTAATTTTGTTAGTATTGAGCAAATCAGGGAAAAGTTTACAGCATTTGCTTCCAAAATAAACATTGTAAGAAGCAAGAGATAGGCTGCATTTACTGACAAGGTTGTGTTCCAAGAGACAGAAAAATAAAGTAAAACGAAGATTGGGAACATCAAAAAAACTTTTCCAAGAATTAGTAAATTTTTCTCGGAGATTATTCTCAAGAAGAGAGGAGTTAAAACAAACAAAATGAAGACAAACAACGTGCCATTGATAAAAATCAGCTTCACGTGAAGAAGACCCAATCCAAGACGGTGCGCTGCCAATAACGGAACATATAGCCCAACTACCGAGTAAAAAATAACAAGTACGAAGGTAAAATAAAATAAAGAAAATACGATTGATGGTGGGCGAATAATATCGTTTGTTCCTGAGGAAGACTTGAATGTATCAGTAATTTCACCAACACTTTCATTGCTTTGTTTTTCCTCTATATTTTCAATAACATTACTTGGTAGGAATATCGTAAAGGTAAGCAAGAAACACCAAAAAATCGTCATAAGTACTCCTGGTGAATTTCCTGCGTTTATTTGCCAACCAAATATATCGACGTTGAATGTGAGAATGCTGCCAAGTGTTGGCCCGAGTACTTGACCGGCAAAAAACAGTGCTTGAAAATATAGAAACGCCTGAGCACGATTTTCGTTTGAAGTACCTTTTGTAATTACTCCAAACAGGACAGATACTGTACTGGCACCCATGCCGCTCAAAAATCTTCCAAACATAGGAAAGTATCCATTGATCGGGATTGAATACAACATATTTCCTAATAACTTTACTACTCCACCCATCACTATGATTAGTTTGCTTGAATTTTGAAGTCTTACATTTAGGGCTCCGATAAATGGACTGAAAACCAAAGTCGCCGCAGAATAAGACGCTAGAGTTAGCCCAAGAAACATATTGGACTCTTTGAGATACTTCATGTAATACCAAGCAGTTGGTTGGATCAGATATTCCTCTACGCCGTCCAAAAAGAAACGGAGAGACAGATAAATGAAGACAATGTTACCCAGCGAAGTAAAATTTATTTTAGGCATGTTCTTGCATAGTCTACAAAATGGAAAAAAGTTAGTTATAGGAAATTTATATTTTGGTACGCAGTGAAAAGCAAATTAAATTTTTAGGCCCGAGGGGCATTTTGGTTGCGCGCAGTTGCATGCGCATCGTGGCGTTTTGATATCGTTAGACAAATACAAGTATGAGGAATATTTGGAAGATCGGTTGCAGGGTCACAGCAAAACTTCTACAAAATAAGGTACAAGATTTCAACCTATATTTTTACCATTCGCCGTTGTTTTCAATTATATCAGGACATTTTACTGCGATTAGTAATAGTGCACTCAGAAAAATTTGAAGCGTATTTGAAATGTATCATTTAATTGTCAGTTTTTGCTTACTTCTATTTGTGGACTAGTAAAAGCTACAGTTAACGGGTTTTCTTCATCTTCCTCTGCGAGTTAGTACGAGATTTGGTGCACTTTTTTCCAAAAGATGTGTTGTGCAAACTGAAGGACGATACTGGATTTAGTAATCGTAGCGTAGTCAAAGCTCCATATTGTGTGAACTATACAGTTCAAGCGGTAAAAATATTAACCAATCAGAACGTTTGTTTACATTTTTACGCTAAACCAATCACAAGGCATAAATATCAAAACATGTAACAGAAGGAACGAGAAAATAAGATCCCGTTCTGGCGCTCTAAGCATGTGGTGCACTGGTCGTGCCACTCGATATCAACGTTTTCGCATTAAAGCAGTCATATTGTGATAAAACGAGCCTTTCTCGTCAATTCTGTCGAGGGAAATTTGTGGATTCGGCGCGCAACGTAAAATATTTATATTTGAATATTCAATTCTAAGGACTTGTCATGCAATCTTGGACAAGTCAGGAGATTTGCGACACAGTCAGGATCATCACATCCTCTGTGATTGAAATTGTTAAAAAGTAAGCTTTATCAATCCTTAACATTATTATAAAGAACACAAAGCCAAATATTGTTATCAGTGGCCTTTTGATTCCTTTGTTTTAAACAAAGAAAACCATTGTTATGTTACGTCAGTGGGTCCAGATGGACTGCCCCGGCTGGATTTAATTACAAAATTTAGACCAAGAGGGGGCAGTCTAACTAGATTTGAGCATCTTCAATTTGCCAAATATTATTAACTTAATCCTTGTTTAATTAAAACAAGTAAATAAAAGGGCTGTCTTCCATAACAATGTTTAGCATATTCATTCAGTAACTTACCAACCATAAACTTTGGTTAAAAAAATTGTAACACTGGGTGCCCTATTGTCATGAATCTCGAAGGAGTCACTTGGTTTATCAAATAGTCAAGGTAGTCAAACTGCCATGTTTAGGTTGGTGTAAAGGTATTTTTGTGTAAGAAGTTCATCTGCCTGAAATGTCTTTCAATTTATTGATTTTCTACTAAAATTTTTCAGGTGTACAAAAAACTGAAATGAAAAAAGGGTGTGCCTGCATTTATTTCACTTTTAGTCTCCTTGGTCCTTCATCTTAGTGCAGACTGAGTGGAAATATTCCATGGCATTCATGATACTCTATAGGTCTGAAGCATTCAGAAGGTATTTTCTTGCAGATGGAGAAATGTTAAAATCATAATAACGCATCAGTGAGGCAATGACTGACAAAAAAGTTCACATTTGTTGCACTTAAGTGGTAGATACCTAAAATCATGCTAATACATAATTTTCTTAAAATTAAAATGTATGAAACAGTGGTGGGAATTGCCCCCCCCCCAAAAAAAATTATTTTCTGCCTCCTATTTTGCCTCCCTAGAATATCAAACTATACCTATCTGTTTAATTCATTGCATCACAGATATTCAATATTTTTAATATTGCAAAATAGTGAAAGAATGGTGTCTCCTATTAATGTCCATCCTTCGTGAATAAGTTTTAAAAGCAAGGATATTTTTAAAGGTTTTGGTTTTTTGGAAAATCACCAAAAATTTGATGGAAATTAGTATTAGCAAGACACACTCTTTTGCATTCATAACTGAAATGTGTAATGGACCTGTAAAAGGAACCAAGGGCGCTGTGGAAAAGGGAGGGGGCATTAAGTCCTGGTGTCCTCCCACTTTTCTGAAAAGAACAAGATGTGCCCCTTTTTTCAGCTAAGATGCTTTTTATTGAGTTATTAATAAACATGGTAAATATGGTAGTATTAGACTATTAGGTAAATTTCGGTAAATGTCATTACTATAATAACCTTTTTGGCTATAGTGCCCCACTACTTTTCAGTATTCCTGTACTGATCGGAACACACTTAACACTAGCTTTCTAATTTGCTGGTAATCAGTAACCAGGCATTGTTATACATGTATTACAAAGTACTACTTAATTAATTGATGCATGGCAATTAAGGCATAATTGTTATGCATGCATGACAATTGAGGCATAATGTTTAGCAACAACTATGGCATTTCGATTCGTGTGGGCAAGCTCCCACTTTTAAATGGTTCTGGAGCCCTTGAAAGGAACCACATTCTTCAGAGCAGCAGAAACTGTGAGAGCAATCAAATGATTTAAGGTGTATTTCCAGACCACTATGAACGATCTAATTTATTGCAGCAAAGGCAAGCAAAGACATCATCATATAATTTCAATGGTTATAACTTGACACTATAAACTAGTTTATTGCTTTGCCATGCTTCTCACCTATGGAATTTCTACTATTGAGGTATATGGCTTTAATTAACCCAGCCATGCATATTTTTAACATAATATGTCTTAGGACAGCATTACAATTTGAGAAATTTGAATAGAGGATTTGAGTACTATCATTCCCATGCTGTGGTATTGCCTTTACACCTGGAGAATCTTTCAGAAGCAAAGTTGTGATGTGGATATATAGCTTGAGTCTGGCCGGGTTTTTACAATTTGTTTGAGGGTATTCTATATGCCAGAAATCCTGGCATCATGAATTTATCAAAAGTTAATGCAGTAAAGTTTAGGAAAAAGGTAAAGAAAGCATTATATATTCACAAACGGTGAACAGACAGTACTCTAACAGTTCCGTATGAAATTTCCAAATGCAAGAACATCGGAGCTGTCAGCTGTCTATGTATGTACCGTAAGTGACTTCACTTTATACGCGCTCCAGTCGAGCAGTTTTTAGCAAACGCTGAATTAAAGTTTGGTAGTAAACTTACCGAATAAAGTCTTTCAAGAAGGCAACAACGTGCTCCATACTAGTTAATAACCAAGACTAAATATCTTTCCTCAAATACAATATGCCTAAATTTTTATCAGATGATTTCTTTACTCTATAGCAATGCACGAGTAGCCTCCTCCGCAGGCAACTCTAATGTATTTATATTAGGCATTTATATTAGGCTTGGGTTAGCTGTGTCGGGGAGTGAGAAAAATTGCATAATTAAAACCTGGATTTGACTCAAGACTTGACTCACAATAATACTTATAATAGGACAACAAAGGCTGGAGCAAAATATATATTTTTTGACAGTATTAAACTTTAGGATAATAACTGTGATTTTTACTATGGGTCATTAGGTACGTAAATATAACTATTTTATTAAGTTAGCAGCATTTATGTTTATCAGTGTTTCTCGCTGGTTTTGGCAGTGGGTTCGAAAATAAAACTAGACCAATATCGCGAGGCTATTAATGTTTCCACGCAAGAGCGCAACTAAATATACTGTATCGAGCCACCTTAAGACCCGTCACGGCCGCTTCGCGACAGAACATCAGAGGCCGCTTCGCCTGCGCGGGTGAAGTGAATATATTGTAACAGTCTTAAAGGATATGCCCCCCCCCCCTTCTCCCATATAGCGTGCGTGGCGCGCCAGCTATACCAGAAAAATGTAAAACTCCATTGTTGGGAACGAACCCAACCGAATATCTCATTAAGTCTTATTGTCGTCCTCATACTCTCAGTTTATCTATATATAATTCAATATAAATCTTGCCTGATTTAGTCGAATTATATCAGCGGCAATCCGACTTTGATTCTACTTCTCCAAGGCCTCGCGCAGCTCACGTTGCTATCTCTTTCTACAAGCGTTTGATAGTTTCTCTGCCCTTAATGAATTTCTCTCGAATTCGGGGAAGCAACTGCTCTTGTCCGCAGTGCCAGTGGCCAAGTAGCTGGTGATGAAAATGAATTTTTAAAAAATTTTGACATATACGCACAAGTAATTTTTAAAAAATTTTAAAAAATTTTTAACACTTAAAAAATTTTATGTGTGTAAAGTATATGCAAGATATACGCAAGTATTATTTAACTTTTTAAAAGTTTTCAATTTTCAAAATTTTGTAAATTTTAGAATTTTTTAATTTTTAAAATTTTGTAAATTTTAATTTTTTTTAATTTTCAAAATGTTCAAAATTTTTAGATATACGCAAGTATTATTCATTTTCAAAACTTTGAAAATTTTTACATATACTCAAGTATTATAAATTTTAAAAATTCTTTAAATTTTGACATATATTTATTGTTACAAATTTTTTTAAATTTTAAAAATTTCTTAAATTTGCAGATACGCAAGTAGTTTTTAAAAATTTTAAAAATTTGAAACATTTGAAAAATTTTATATATGTAAAATATACGCAAGATATACGCAAATATCGTTAAAATTTTAAAAATTAATCTTCACTCGATGCAGCTAAATTCTAGAGGTTCAAAGGGTGTTAATTTCGAGTAGATTTATACACACTTCAAATGCAAGCCAGGTATAGTTGATGGGAAAATAAGTCAACTATCGGTCCTCAGGCGGGAATCGAACGCTTTTCCGATTCCGGTGCCATGCTCTTGCCACTGATCTTCAGAGGTAACTGATGTGTTTTGATGTGTTTAATGTGTCTATGATGGAACCAGAGTTTATGATAATTGTTAACCATAATTTAATAATCATCAAAATTTTTAAAGATTTTAAGATTTTCACATATACTCAAGTTAAGTATTTTCCATTTTTTAAAATTTTCACATATACATATAGGCAAGTATTGCTAAAATTTTTAAAAAGTTTTTCAATTTTAAGAAGTTTTTGAATTTTTAAATTTTTTAACATCAAAATTTTTTAACTTTTCCTAATTTTTTAAATTTGTGAACATTTTCAAAAAATTTTGTGTTGAGGTTTGTACCGTTGCCATCGCTCTTTTATGAATATACAAAGCACAACATTCAACTTAGGAGTTTTACAAGGAATATATTTTAATCATACAAATCACTCATATATATACAGAATTATATCTATGCTAACTATTTGACATATTACATTTCATTACCATACAAGGTTTACAATTTCGATACATGCAACGACTATTTTTATGTTGGTATTTCTGGTAGTCAGAGATTACATTCTTTCATATATGACATTGTGGTTCAGTTATGTTAATTAATCTTATTTTGGATATTTAGAGCATATCTCAACACCCCCACTTGCTCTTAATGTCCTATGATAAACTATTTATTTGATGGCGTGCAGCAGGGCGGGCCATCGCTTTAAAATTATATGCGCAATTATGAACCTATGTATACTTACCTAATATGGTCTCTTTAAATTTTTCTAATTTTATTTTACTGGCTGGCTTTGTAAATATGTCTGCAATATTTTCCTCTGTTGAAACGTACTCTAACCTAACTCGTCCTTCCTTCACTTCTTCCCTAATGAAATGGTACCTGATGTCTATATGTTTTGTTCTCTGATGATGAATAGGATTCTTCGCCAGATTCATCGCTCCCTGGTTATCTATCTCTATGAAAGCCTTACCTTCATGTATACTTACCTTCATGTCGATACAGAGTTGTTTCAGAAATTTTGCTTCTTGCATCGCGTTTGTCAATGCAATATATTCCGCTTCACAGGTGGATAGTGCCACTGTCGGCTGTTTGCGGCTCTTCCATGATATCAACGGTCCCTTTTGCGCTAGTTGATAGTTGTATCCTGTTATACTCCGTCTATCTGCGATAGATTCTCCCCAATCTGAATCGCAAAAACCTTGAAGAATGAGGGGGTTAATGGACTTTGTGAACGTTAGACCAAATTTTGAAGTACCTTTTAGATATCTCAAAACGTGCTTTGCCTTAGTTAAATCTGCCTGGGTTGGTTTTGACATTTTCTGTGCCAATTTTGTCACGATGTAACACAGATCTGGCCTAGTGCCAGTCATTACATATATGAGACTACCTACTATAGCTCTATAAAGCCCGGGGTCCTCCATTTCAGGAGATTCCACTTCCAAAACTTTGTCTACTCCTAACTCACACGGCGTCGGCTTTGGCTTACAATCGGTCATTTTGAATTTCTCAAGAATCTTTTCAATGTACCGGGTTTGATTCATTTTAATTGTGTTTTCACTGCATTGAAATTCAGTGCCTAAAAACCATTTTAGAATCCCTAGGTCGGTCATTTTAAACCTTTCTTTAAGAGACTTTTTCACGCTCTGTAGTGAATTTGAATCACTCGAGGCGATTATGATATCGTCTACCCAAACGATTACGATCACACATCGTTCATCATCTATTGTACGCACATACACACATGGATCTGCAAGAGATTGAATAAAGTTTTCGTTAATCAAATATTGATGGAGTAGATTATTCCAATTCCTGCCGCTTTGTTTTAGACCATATAGCGACTTTTTCAGCTTACAAACTAACGTTTCACCGCTATCATTTCGCTTTTCAAAACCTTCAGGTTGTTCTATATATATTTCGCAGTCAATTGGCGCATTAAGGTATGCTGTTTTCACATCCATTTGGTGAATAATCATGTCGTTTTGCACGGCACGTTGTAATAACATTCGGATCGAACTCATGCGTGCAGTTGGTGCAAATTTCTTGGTAATCTATATCTGAAACTTGAGAATACCCTTTCGCTACAAATCTAGCTTTATATTTTCCTCCTCTTGATTTGTTTTTATAGTGTAAACCCACTTTGCCCCCACTACCTGTCTATCCTTAGGTCGCGGTACTAAATCAAAAGTGTCATTATCTGTCAACGCTTTCATCTCAATTTCCATTGCCTTTTGCCATTTGTTTGCCTCAGGCAACTCAAGTGCTTGTTTATAGCACACTGGAATGTTCGCAACTCTATAGCAATAATCAACAGTGTAATTAACATTCTCACCTAATGTGTCATCTAATTTGCTTTGATCGAAATAATTTGGCTTATTGCGAACTCTTGTTGGATACCTATCTCCCTCGGTAACCATTTCGGTGTTGTTTGTTGCATTCTCGCTGTTTGTTTCGAGATTATTCGAGCTCTCCTCAACTGTACTCGGCATTTTGGGGTTTTCATTGCTAGTACTCGAAGGTTTTCTTTCGGGTACAAACTCATCAAGATCGTTGAGTTTATTGTCTTTGCCTTGGAAGTTGTCAATGAATTTGACACAACGTACCTTTTCTATCTTGTCTAATTCCGGATAGTATATCAAGTAAGATGGGCTATCTCTGTCGTACCCTATAAATATACCTTTACGGCTCTTCGCATCTATTTTCTTGGTATTTTGCATGAAAGCATAGCATGTTGTGCCGAATACATGCATATTATTTAAATTTGGTTGCTTACCTGTCAACGCCTCAAATGGAGTCTTCTCTAAGCGTTGGTTAAAACATCTGTTTCTTATGTAGGCTGAAGCCATCACAGCGTAGGTCCACAACCGTTTTGGTAGTTTTGCCTCCAATAGCAAGCACCTAGCCATGCTAAAAAGGCTTCGCCACGCTCTTTCTGCAGTTCCATTTTGGTGAGGGGAATACGGGGCACTCGTCTCGTGTCTTATTGACTGCTTTCGTAAGAGAGATTTAAATTCTTGACTCGTAAACTCACCACCATTATCGCTTCGTATCCTTTTAACTTTACCATAAGGCGCAACATCGGCCAAAAATTTTTCTGTGGCTTCTAAAGTGTCGCTCTTTCGCTTTAAGAAATATATCATGTTGATACCTGTATAATCGTCTATAAAAGACAATGCATATTTAAATCCGTCTCTGGCAACGGGCTCAATTGGCCCTGCCAAGTCACAGTGGACAAAATCTAAAGGTGCTTTAGCTCTCTGATCTGGCTCTCGGTTTCTATTCTGACACATCTTTCCTTGAATGCATACTTCACAATCTTCTCGCTGTGGTCTATGATTTTCATACCTTTGACTACCTGCTCTAATTTACGCACATCTCCAAAGTTACAATGGCCTAAAATCCTGTGCCACTCATTAATGGAGGTAGCATTGTTACACGAAGAAGAGATACTATTTAAATAGTACAAACGCTCTCTCTCTTCTATCTCAAATACCTGACCTTCAGCTGTAGTGTATTTACTTAC